GCTTCAGATCAGTGTGGTGCACCGGCCGCAGCGGCCATTGGAGGGTGAACCAATGGCAAAGGAAGACCTTTCTCTCTGTCTCTCTCTCTCACTGTCCACTCTGCCTGTTAAAAAGAAAACAGTTCCCCAAAGGAAGTTAGAGCTTTTTTTTTTTTTTTTTTAAGATTTATTTATTTGAAAGGGAGAGGGAAGGAGAGAGAGAGAGAAGGAGAGAGAGAGAGTGAGCGAGAGCGCTTCCATGCACTGGTTCTCTCCCCAAATGACTACAACAGCCAGGGCTGAACCAGGCCAAAGCCAGGAGAGCTTCTTCTGGGTCTCACACATGGGTGCAGGGGCCCAAGCACTTGGGCCATCTTCTGTTGCTGTCCCAAGCACGTTAGCAGGGAGCTGGTTCGGAAGTGAAGCAGCTGAGACACAAACCGACACCCATGTGGGTTGTAGGCACTGCAGGCAGCAGCTTTACCTGTTGCGCCACATCTCCAGTCCCAAAATCAGCACTCTAGCCAGAAGCAGGAAGGGATGCTGGGTAGGCACAGTCAGTGTTGGTGTTCACCGGTGTGTGATGGGCTGGAGCAACGGACAGTGGGTGGATCACGAGTGTGGCAGGGCAGTGAGTGACCTCACCTCTTCCACTAGCTTGTGTGTATGCATTCACAGCAATTCAGTCAACACCTGAGGATTCGCCACTTACAAGGTCAAGCTCCCTCCCTGCACAGAACACGTGCCAGCCCCGAGAGGCTCAGAAATGAAGACGCACTTCAGATACAGCACCCTCCAGGGAAGCCGGATCCGGCTCCTCAGTCAGATGCAAGGCAGAGAGAGGCACAGCTTTCAACTGCTGGGTCACTCCCCAGATGCCCACAACAGCCAGGGCAGGACCAGGTCGAATCCAGGAGCCCAGAAATCAATCCGGGTCTTTCAAGTACTTGAGCTGCCTCCCAGGGTGCACACCACCAGGAAGCCAGAATTAGGAGCAGGACTCAAACCCTGGCGCTCCAAGCACCCGGGCAGCAGCTCAATTGCTCTCTCAAACACCCACCCCACGTCTGACAAATTTCGCCTCCGTATCCTCTGTGCCCAGGATATAATGGTTGCTTTAAAACATCTGTTAGGGGCCAGCGCAGTGGTGTAGCAGGTAAGGCCACTGCCTGTGACACCGGCATCCCATATGGGCACTGGTTCAAGTCTCAGCTGCTCCACTTCCTGTCCAGCTCCCTGCTAATATACTTAGGAAAGCAGCAAGAGATGGCCCACATACTTGGGCCCGTGCACCTACATGGGTGACCAGGATGAAGCTCTTGGCTCCTGGCTTCAGCTTGGCTCAGCCCTGGCCATTGCAGCCATCTGGGGAATGAACCAGCAGATGGAAGATCTCTCTGTCTCTCATTCTCTTTAAATCTAGATCTTTAAAAAAAATCTTAAAAAAAAAAAAAAAGGATTTATTTGGCTGGAGAAAGAAATCAGTCTCAGTCCTGGATTTTACTGTGCTTAGTGACCTGGGGATAGTTCTTCTCCCTCCCTGGCCTTTCTTCCCACAAAGGAAAGACTGGTTTGGTGTAAGATCTGTAATAAGAGACATGTAGAATTGAACTCTATATTTCCATTTGTCCAGGGTAAACACATAGGAGCATTCCCTTTTTTTAAAGATTTATTTATTTCAGAGACAGAGTTACATAGAGGGAGACAGAGAGAGAGAGAGGGAGAGAGATCATCCATCTGCTGGTTCACTCCCCTAATGCCCACAGCTGCCAGGACAGGGCCAGACCAAAGCCAGGAGCCTGCAGCTCCATCCAGGCCTCCCACGTTGGTGACAGAGGCCCAAGTGTTTGGGCCATCATCTGCTGCTTTCCCAGTCACATTAGCAGGAGCTGGATGGGAAGTGGAGCAGCCGGGACTCGAACCAGCACACATACAGGATGCAGGCACTGCAAACAGCAAACAGTGGCTTAACCCAGTATGCCACAGTGCCAGCCCCTGCCTTCAGCTTCAAATCCAGAATCCAGCCATTTCTCACCACCTTACCCAGCCTGCCTCTAGCCACCACCATCACTTGCTAATCATTGCCTCGGCCTCCTGTGATAGCCCTGCTTCCCCCTCACAGCGCAGCCATAAATGGACACTCAAGGGCAGGCACGGGCCTAGCAGTTACGGTGCTCTTGCCTTGGGACACCCCCACCCTATCAGAGTGACTGGATTTGAGTCCTGGCTCCGCTTCAATGCGAGCTTCCTGCCGGTGCTTACCTTGGGAGGCAGCCCGTGCTGACTCAGGGCATGACTCCCTGCACCCATGTGGGCGACCTGGCTTGAGCTCTGGGCTCCTGGCTTCAGCCTGATCCAGCCAGCCCTGTCTGAGGTGGACATTTGGGCAGTAAACTGACAAATGGAAGATTCTGTCTGTCATAAATAAAAAGAAAGAAAAAATTTAGGGCCAACCACTGTAGTGCAGCAGGTTAACCCATGGCCTGCAATGTGGACATCTCATATTTGAGCATCGGTTCCAGTCCCGGCTGCTCCACTTCTGATCCAGCTCCCTGCTAATGCACCTGGGAAAGCAGCAGAAGATGGCCCAACTGCTTGGGCCCCTGCAACCACATGGGAGACCTGGATGGAGTTCCAGGTTCTTGGCTTTGGCCTTGATTAGTCCTGGCCGTTGCAGTCATTTGTGGCATGAACCAGAGGATAGAATCTCTCTCTCTCTGCCTGTCCCTCTCTCCATCACTGCCTTTCAAATAAATCTTTAAGAATAATTTTTCTATTAAAATAAAATGGATGTCCAAACCCTCCATTAGCTTCCCATCTCCTTCAGAGTAAGAGCGCACATCGCCCAGGGTCTGTCCCCTCTCCCAGGGTCTGTCTCCTCTCCCAGGGTCTGTCCCCTCCCCCAGGCTCCCTCAGGCCTACTCCACAGCTGCACGTCGCCTAGGGTCTGTCCCCTCCCCCAGGTTCTGTCCCCTCCCCCAGGGTCTGTCCCCTCCCCCAGGCTCCCTCCGTCCGACTCCGCCTACGCGATGCTGGTCTCGCTATTTCTTAGGTACCACAGTCAAAAGGGTGCCTGAGGCCTCTGGCGCTGCCTGCTCCGTCTGCCCGGAGCGCCCCCTTTCGCCCGATGTCTGAATGACGCATGCATTTCCTTCCTGAGTTCGCTGGGCTTAGCTCCGTGAAGCCTCTGCCTGCCCCACTGCAAACTGCAACCCAAGGCTGGCGTGGAGCCTGGCGCTCAGGCTGTCGGCTGGGACACCCACGCCCGTGCCAGAGTTCTCAGTTTGAGGCCCAGCCCCAGCTCCGGACTCCAGCTTCCTGCTGATGCACACCCTGAGAGGCAGCACTTATGGCTCAAGTAGTTGGGTGCCTGCCACCCACATGGGAGGTGTGGGTTGCTCTTGGCTCCCAGCTTTGGCCTTTACGGGCATTTGGGGAGTGAAGCAGCAGATGGAAGCTGTCTGTCTTCCTCTCTCTTCTCTGCCTCTCAGACAGACAGACAAACAAACCCCCCTGCAACCTTCCCGCCCCTCGTTCCGGTGTTTCCTCCATGCTGGTCACTCTCCCCTAACACACTCAGCCATCTCCTCCCACGTGACTGTAAGCTCTGTGCACATCTATTAACTAAACGCTAATTCTTTCAATTAATTGACTATTGATGTCTGTTATGCGCCAGGCACGGTGCTCAGCATTGGCGCTACGAGGTGATTAAGGCTGCTTTTAAGTCCTGGGAGGGAAGAAATCCTAATAGCAATTAGTAGTAGCAGCTCGTGTATCTGAGGCTTCCTCTGTGTCAAGCGCTTGCCAAACATCACAAAGACAACGCGGGCGAACATCGATTAAAACAGACTCTGCCTTCACGCCTGACCTCGTGTAACCCTCACCAGGATCTATAAGGTGAGGGTTACACTAGCTTTACCGCAAAGCACAAGAACCAAGATTTCAAGGCTCAGAGATGTCAGTCTGTCAGGACGCTGGCCGTGGCGGCGGCGGCGGCGGCGGCAGCGGGGGTGAGGGTCCACTGTGAGAAACACTTAGGGTCAGCGAGACTAGCTCCGGAATCGCATGCGGGGACCGCGGGAAGGGGCTGTGGCTCCCAGCTGTCGATTGCGGTGGATCAAAGGGAACGGCGAAAGCCCAGTTTGGGACGCGATGCGTTTGAGGTGACTGGGGGCCGCTCATGGACAGGAGCCTGAAGAGATGCTGGGGGCAGGCACCCGGCGGGGAGGGACACCCTGCTCTTGAATCTCTTCAGCAGCAGCTGCAGGAAGGGATTCAGGGACCGCGAGACAAAGAGCGCGAGGCACTGCCTTTGTCCCAGCGGCCCCTTTAAGAAGCGCGCTCCCCGCTCCTAGCCCGCCTAGTATGCAAATACAGCGGCGAGGCGGGAGCGCGCCGCTGATATCCGGGGACTGGGCTAAGGCGGTTAGTCCTCTCCCGGCCGCCGTCGCCTCCGACATATTGCCCGCAGGAGCTGCGGCGGCGAAGCGGAGAGCGCCGGGGGGAGGAGATGGGTGAGCAGAGCCGGCCCGGCTCGGCCCGGCAGCGAGCGGGCGCGGGGCTCCGGATGGCCAAGCCGCTGCTAATCGCTGGTCCACGCGGACAGCCCTGCGACGGGAGGGGGAGGGGATGCGGGAGCAGACGGGACCCCGCCCCTCCTGGCGTTTTGCAGGGTGGGGCCTCTGTTGTGGGGGCGGGGCACTGGCGTGGTGGGCGGGGCTTCCCTGTGGAGTGGGGTTGTGGGGGCTTTGGTCAGGGCTGGAAGTGGGGGTGGGACCCACGGGGGGGTGTGGTCGTCACTCTAGGGGCGGGGCTTGTGGACTGCAGACGCCGGTGTGAAAGCGAGCTTTCCGGGCTGCTGGGGCCAATACTGGGGGCGTGGGGCGGGCCGGAGGCTTCTCAGCCTCCGCGAACCCATCTGGCTTCTGGACCGAGGGGGCTTTGATTGGCTTGTGGGCGGGGCTTCTGGGCTGACAGTTGTGTGGGGGCGGGGCTCCTGGGCTGGGTGGCTTTAGGTGGGTGCAGAGCTGCTGAAGAAGGAAGAGTGGGTGTAGGCGAACTTCTGGCTGAGTGTGCTTGTGTGGGGTTTTCTAAGCCAGGTGTGAAGGTGTGGGGGCTTTTTGAGGCTAGGGCTCCTGGAGACGTGGGCAAAGCTTCCAGGCCGAGGAGCTAGGGGTGCAGTGTGTGTTGCCGGGAGCCCGAACGGCTGGTGACTTTAGTTAGGTGCTTGGGAGCTTTGGCCAGGCCTTTTGTGCAGCGTGAGTAGCTGGGAGCCTGGGCTGGACTCTCAGCCTCGACAGTTTGTGGGTCCGGAACCACAGCATCTCCCAGAGCCCATCTCCTTGGCCACGTGCTTGGGCCTCGGGTCCTGCCCGTGAGACACCAGGATGCTCGTGGGGCTGATGTCAGGGCGTCGAGGAAAGAGCTAAAGGTGTCCAGAAACTTGGATCTGAACGGGCCCCAGCGCATAGCAGAGCTGGGAGCAGAGGACCCGCTCCTCCGTACTGTCTGTGACACAGACCCAGGCGTGGTTCCCTGATCTGTGACCATCCTACCTCGCTGGGCTCCTTCACTCGTCACCGTATGTTTGCTGGGTGTGAGGTAGGGGTAGGGGGTGCAGCAGTGAAAACAGACGGCTCCTGACATTGAGCATGACAATGAGCCGTCACCAAGACAATGAGCGTGTTCACACACGAGTAGGACAAGTTCAGAGTCAGTAATTGTGGGGGGAAAACACAAATAGGATAGAGGATGATGGGCAGCTACTTCCAAATGTTGACCACTGAGGAACGAGTCTCCTGACAGTGCAGCACGCTTGGCTCACTGACGAGAGAAAGGCCGCGATGGCTGGCGCGTGGCGTGGGCCTGGAGGTGCGAGGCAGAGACTAGTAGGAGAGGAGGTTAGGGGAAGACGGGGGCCAGATGTGAGACTTTAGTGAAAGGCAGGCAGCCCGTCGAGCTGTGAGCGCCGTATAGTTGCTGTCATCCTTGATCTATGTCCTCTGGCTTGAGGACCTACTTTATGTTGAGCCCCGCAGGAGGACGAAGAGGTCCTAACAGGACATCTTACTGTCGAAACCCACTCTGTGAGCCAGGATCCTCCGGGGGCTCTGGTGGAGGCCACGCTTCCAGCGCGTCCGTGACCAGTGTCCGTTCCCGCACCAGGTAAAGCACCTGCCGTCGGCTCCCAGGAGCAGTGTGGGCCAGGCTCTCCCTGACTGGGTTGTGATATCCTAGATGGCGGGTGGGGACTGGGGTCTTTTCTGGCAGCAGAAAAGACCTAGAGGGAGCTTGGCTGAGGGCGGTTACAAGGACAGATGCAGTGGGACCTGGTACACTAAACCCAAGGGCCTGGATTCCAGTTCAAGTTCTGCACCTGAATTGCTGGTGACTTGGACAAGTTTCCTCCCCTCCTTGGGCCTTTTTCTCCTCTGTAAAATGAGGTTAATATTTCCTGAAGTGTTGGAAGTCCTGAATAAGATTAGGAATAGGAAAAGGCTTTGACAGGCAGGAGAGAGGGTACTCATCCTTGCAATGAGCTGTGTCTCTAGCCTTACCCCACAATCCGGGGCCCCAGAGCCATTTCGGGTAGGGATCTCAGGTCAGCTCCGCTCCTCTCCCTTCCTCTTTCCTTCCTTTCTTTCCTTTGCTTTTCTTGCTTAGACTTATTTATTTAAAAGTGGAGAGAGATGGGGCCGATCCTGAGGCCTAGTGGGTGAAGCTGCCACCAGCAGCTTCCCACTGCCAGCATCCCATATAAGCGCCAGTTCGAGTCCCAGCTGCTCTACTTCTGACCCAGCTCTCTGCTATAGCCTGGGAAAGCAGTAGATGATGGACCAAGTCTTTGGGCCCCTGCAACTATATGGGGGACCTGGAAGAAGCTCCTGGCTCCTGGCTTTAAATTGGCCCAGCTTTAGCCGTTGCTGCCATTTGGGGAGTGAACTAGCAGATGGAAGACTTCTCTGTCTCTCTGCCTATCTGTAACTCTGCCTTTCAAATAACTAAATAATTCTTTAAAAAATAAAGGAGGGGGGGGGAGAGACAGATCTTTTATCCAAGCCAAAACTGGAGTCTGGAACTCCATCTGGGTCTCTGACATGGGTGCAGGGGCCCGAGCCCTTGGGCCATCATCCACTGCCTTCCCAGGTGCATCAGCAGGGAGCTGGATCAGAAGCAGAGCAGCTGGGACTGCAACAGGCACCCTGGTGTGGTCTGACAGCGCTGCGAGCAGCTCAGCCTGCTTTATTTCAACACCAGCCCTTCTGGTCCGCTTCCAATGTTGTTCCCTCCCACCTCCAGGAGCAGTTCTGGGACGGGCCTCTCCAGTCCTCCACTGGCCACCCAGACGGTTGTGCCTCTACAGCACTGTAAGATCCCCGAGCTGCCAGTCCAGGCCAGCATTCTGTTTGAGTTGCAGCTCTTCTTCTGCCAGCTTATAGCCCTCTTCGTCCACTATATCAACATCTACAAGACAGTGTGGTGGTATCCGCCCTCCCACCCACCTTCCCACACCTCCCTGGTAGGTGCCCAGCCAGGGCCAGCTCTGTGTGTGTCTGTGCGTGTTCTTTGTGGGTATTAGACATGGTTGGTTCAGCTTAGCGTAGCCTACAAAGCACCACTGTGGTGCTTTGGGCCCTGTGCTGGGCTTGGCATAGGATGTGCAGAAGGAACAAAAACTGATGATTTCCTGAGTGCTGCTAGTGGGCTTATGTTTCACTCTGGGCATTGTAAGGGGAGCAGAGATGACTCCGATACAGGTTGCCTAACGCAGCTCCGGGTCTTAAGGCCTTTAGGGGAGGTGAGTGTGTCCAGGGGAGGAAGGAGCTCTGTGAAGAAGAAAGGGTGCAGGGACAGGGGCATGGGTGTTAGGAGCAGGAGGGCCCGCACAGCACGCCCTCGGCCCCAGGGACTGCCTGCTTCCCTTCTCTGGGTCCTACGGTACTCCTCGAGGTCATATCCTGGCCTGAGTCAGCGGGAGGCCTATCAGAGAATGGGGACAGCCTCTGTGGCAAGGACTGGGCAGGGGGAGGCTGGTGTCTGGGGAAGGGGCCCACGTGACCCGCAGGCCTCTGCTCCCGACAGAACTTCCACCTGATCGACTTCAACTTGCTGATGGTGACCACCATCGTTCTGGGCCGCCGCTTCATTGGGTCCATCGTGAAGGAGGTGACTGGGTCCTAGAGGCTGGCCAGGGACGCTGGGATCCCCTCTCCCCCGGGGGCGCCCAGGAGGCATGCCCAGCCTTTCAGCCCTGACATTTCCTTGGGGCTCCCTCTGGACATGGTTGAAAGACGTTAACCGCATTTATGGGGCATTGGACAGAAGGATTTGCCTTGGCACACTCCACCCAGCCTGCTGTGCCACCTGTCCCTGGGTGGGATCACAGGCTATGCAGGGGGGTGGGGGGGCGGGGCCTAGCCCCTGTGGCCTCCATCCAAGGCCCCTTCCCATCCTATCTCGCCCTGACCCAGGCTTCTCAAAGGGGGAAGGTCTCCCTCTTTCGCTCCATCCTGCTGTTCCTCACCCGCTTCACCGTTCTCACGGCAACAGGCTGGAGTCTGTGCCGGTCCCTCATCCACCTCTTCAGGACCTACTCCTTCCTGAACCTCCTGTTCCTCTGCTATCCGTGAGTACCCCTCCCCTCCGCCCCCACTGCCTGGCACCTGGGCCCTGAGCTCGCCGTTCGTGCGGCTGTGACACTGTATTTTGTATTTGGAGACTCCCGGGCAGTCAGCGACCATGTCCTCCCACGTTGTGTGTGACCTCCCCCTGAGACAGGGCGCTTAGACTTCATTGCAGAAGAAGGTGGGCCTCATTTACCCCTGCTGCTGCCCCTGCGGTCAGAGGAGGACTCGGATCTGTGTGGAGCCCTAGGGAGTCCCAAGGGGAATGCACAGGCCGCCTCCCGCTCCCTGTTTGCTTTCCTTTCCCTGTCTCTCTGTGTGTCTCAGTGGTTGTGTAATCTCTTGGTGCTTCCCTGGGTCCAGACCTTGGCAAGCACCTGCATGTTTGCATGTCTGGACGTGCGTGTCTGTGTGTACGTGCACGTGTGTGTCTGTCTTGGTGTCTGTTTTGTTCACTCACTCACTCCATCTCACCCGGAATATTGAGGATGGAGAAATAGTGTCTGGGAAGAGACCAGGACTGCCCCCTTCGTGGCCTGGAATTGTGGAGGACTTTGATGGGGTGTCCAGTCTGGCTGCTGTGCGCCAGGCTCCTGGCTGCCTGGGATTGGCAGTTATTTCTCAACGCTGGGCTTTGTGGTTCATGAACTTCCTCAGTCTGGTCAGCCCTCATCCCTGGAAAGCTTTCGACCTGGACTGCTCCTCCCTCTACTCTGCATGACCAAAAAGGCAGGGGAGCCCCACCCTCCTTGCTCCACTTCTACCTGATTTTTAATTTTAAGCGTGATAGATGTGTTTTACATAAAAACATTAGACTTTATAGAACCATTTAATAGAAAATGAAAGTCCCGTGGAATCTGAGTCCCCAGAAATCTTATTTTCCAAACATTCTCTGTGCTAGTACATGCACATACACTTTTTTAAAACAAATGGGATTGTGTCATGCATGATATTACCTCATTGGCTGCAAGTCACGGGACTTGGATATTTTCCATGGCAGTATATATGGGTCTGCCGCATTTCTTTAATGGCCTCATAGTGTTTTTTGTGTGGAATTTTAGCAATTTGTTTTATTTGTCTATTGTTGGTAAACTTCTGAGTTGTTCCTAGCTTTTTCTTGTTCATAACAGTGAGGCAGGGAGCATTCTTTTATATACATCTTTGCACACCTGTCCAGTATTTCTGCACAGCAGAGTCTCAGAAGTATTATACCAAATGATACGTTCATTTACATTTTTTATAGTGACTAGCAAATTGCTCTTCAAAAGGGTTATCCTGGCTGAAACTGTCATTAATTGCCTTGCCTTAGTTTAACACTTTCTAGTTAGTACCTGGTGAGTCCACTCTAGACCCAGGAATCATCCAATGTTCATATGTTGCTTTCTTTTTTATTTCATTTTACTATTTTTTTTTTAAGATTTATTCATTTTTATTTGAAAGGCAGAATTACACAGAGATTGAGAGAGACATCTTCCATCCACTGGTTCACTCCCCAAATAGTCACAGTGGCTAGAGCTGGGCTGATCTGAAGCCAACAACCAGGAGCTTCTTTCAGGTCTTTCATGTGGGTGCAGGGGCCCAAACACTTTGGGCCATCCTCCGCTGCTTTCCTAGGCGCATTAGCAGAGAGCTGGATTAGCTGGATTGGAAGAGGAGCAGTGAGGATTCAAACTGGTGTCCATATGGGAAACTGGTGCTGCAGGTTGCAGCTTTGCCTACTACACCACAGCACTGCCCCCCCCACCTTTTTAAGATTTATTTATTTGAGAGGTAGAGTTACAGAAGAGAGGGAGAGACAGAGAGAAAGGTCTTCCATCTGCTGGTTCACTCCCCAAATGGCTGCAACAGCCAGAGCTGGGCCCATCCAAAGACAGGAAGCCAGGAGCTTCTTCTGGGTCTCCCACACAGGGAGCCCAAGGACTTGGGCCATCTTCTACTGCTTTCCCAGGCCACAGCGGAGAGCTGGATTGGAAGAGGAGCAGCCAGGACTTGAACTGGTGTCCATATGGGTTGCTGGTGCTGCAAGCTACTATGCCACAGCACTGGCCCCTCCTCCTTTTTATTTTGTAATTTTAAATTTCTTATTGATATAGTATAGAAACATTATAAAAATGAAATCCAGTTGTGCCAAAAATGTAAAACAGTAACCTTCAAACCTGCCCTGCAGATTTCCTGGCCCCTTTTCCAAAGCAGTCTCTTTCACTCTCTAATGTTAAGTGTTTTTCAAGTTGCTGCCAGTAGTATCCTTGTACCTTAGTGTATTCCTTTTTAACATTTATTAACTGATTTTGTAATTGGATTATAGGCTCACATTCTTAAAATTCAAGCGATATGAGTAGAGTGAAAAAGTCTCCTGTTAACTGCTGCCTCCCAGCCACTTGGTTTCCCACTGAAGAGGCCGTCACCAGTGTGTTCTGTGCATCTGCAAGCACACGACACCCGCGTGCACATGCGCATTGATTCCTTGCAATGGCTCACCTCCCATCCCTGCTGTTCCCAGCATTTGATAACTGTTAGGATTCTTAATTATCTTTTTTAAAGATAATTTTCTGTCTTTAAAGATTATTGAAAGTCAGAATTACAGAGAGAGGAGGAGAGAAAGAGAGAGAGGTATCTTCCATTCTCTATTTATTCCCTAAATGGCCGCAATGGTCAGGATTGGGCCAGGCCGAAGCCAGGAGCCAGAATCTAGAAGCTAGGAGCTTCATCCAAGTCTCCCTTGTGGACGCAGGGTGGTCTGGCGTCCCCTGCTCTCCCAGGCTCGTTAGGTGGGAGCTGGATCAGAAGTAAAGCAGCTGGAACTTCAGCCAGCACTCATATGTGATGCTGGCATCACCTGCTACAACAAATTGCTGGTCCCTTTTTGAATTTTCTGTTGATTATCTTGAATCCCTTTTGTGTAAGATAAGCATATTGGGTACCCCCCTACCCATCCACCTTTATACCTCTCACACTTCCTGGCAGCTGTACTCTTTTCTTTAAAAAAAAAAAAAAAGATTTATTTGGGGCCTGTGCTGTGGCATAGCAGGTAAAGCCACTGCCTGCAGTGCCGGCATCCCATGTGAGCACTAGTTTGAGTCCTGGCTGCTCCACTTCTGATCCAGCTGTCCGCTATGGCCTGGGAAGGCAGTGGAAGATGACCCAGGTCCTTGGGCCTCTGCACCTGCATGGGAGACCTAGAGGAGGCTCCTGGCTCCTGGCTCCTGGCTTCAGCTCTAGCTGTTACGGCGATCTGGGGAGTGAACCAGCAGATGGAAGACCTCTCTCTCTCCCTCTCTCTCTCTCTCTGCCTCTCTGTGTGTAACTCTTGACTCTCAAATAAATAAATAAATCTTAAAAAACAATATTTATGTATTTGAAAGGCAGAGTGACAGAGAGGGAGACACACACACACACACACACACACACACACAGATGCTTCCATCCATCTACTGGTTCATTCCCCAAATGGCTGTAACAGCTAGATCTGAGCAAGGCTGAAGCCAGGAGGCTGGAATAGGGATTCCCAAGTGGGTGACAAGGGCCTAAGTACTTGGGCCACCTTCTGAAGCTTTCCCAGATGCATTAGCAGGGAGCTGGATCAGAAGTGGAGCAGCCAGGACTCTGGTATTGCAGGCAGTGGTTTAATCCACCCCTGTACTCTTATCTGTATCTGGTGAAGCTTGACATTCACATTCTCCTGTATAGGCATATTTAAGTCTCCTTTTCTTTGTCTAAAGCTAATTCTAAACATTTTTGATACGACAATGTATATGAAAATATCACTGACTGCAGGGCCCAGTTGTGTGCATAGATGACATTTCTTCTCTATAATTAACTGAATTATAATCTTGGGCCTCTTAAAAAAAGAATGTTCCTAGTTTCAAGGTAAAATTATTTCACTTTTCTTACATTCCATCAATTGCTTAAAATCATGCCACATTGCTTCATATTTAAATTGTAGCTTTCATATATAGCTTTTTATTTTTCTTGGAGTTCTAATTGCCTTTCTTTTTTCTTGTTGACAAAAGAATGATGGGCCTTCAGCATATCCTCAAGTTTATCCAGCCTCTCAGTCATGCTACCTGTTGCCTGGAGTCCATTTTCCCCCCAAAGACATCCCTCCTGGAGCCCTCAGCCTCCTGCTCCAGTCGGAGCGGTTGCTCTTTAGGCCTGCTGTGCAGCTCTCAGCCTGGGACTTCCCTTCGCTGCCCTCCTGGCTTGGATCCACTGTTTCCTGGATCCCATGTCTTCCTTTTTCTTGATTTTTCTCCTTTATTTTGCTGGAGTACGTTATCAGGTAATTTCCTCAATAATGGGTATGTGGGAGGTATATACATTCTGAATCCTTGCATGTCGAAAGATGTCTTTATTCTACCCTCATACTCGGACAGTAGTCTGGCTGAATGTAGATTTCTAAGTTCAAATTCATATTCTCTCTGAAGTGTGAAGCTCTCTCATGTACAGTATTGCTAGTGAGAAGTCTGAGCCAGTTTGATTTCAGTTCTTTTGTGATGACCCTTGCCCCCACTTTCTGAAAGCTCTTGGGAACATTCTACTTGTCTTTTGATCGTTTGAAATCTCACAAGGATGTTTCTGGTGTGGAACTTCCATCATTCATCCTATGAGCACTTGAACTTTTTAAACATGGAGATTTGGGTACTTCAGCTGAGAGAAATTTTCTTCTGTTTCTTTAATAGTATCTTCCTCCCTTTTTTTCTGTCCATCAGATGGCAGACGTCATAGATTCAGTCATCTGTTTCTCTTATATTTTCTCTCCTGTTTTCCGTTTCTCTCTGCCTCTCCGTTTTTCTGCCCGTCCTTCTTTCTTTCCTTCTCTGTCTTTCTCTTTGCTTTGTCTTCAGAGAGATTTCCTTGATTTTGCCTTCCAGCTTTTTATTGAGGTTTTTTTTTTTAGCAATCATGTTTCTCATTTCTAAGACCTCTCGTTTTCTGAATGTTCTTTTCTCATAGCATCCTGTTCATGTTTTTACACTCTTATGTTCTTTTAATCTTGCCCTCC